TACTATCAATAAAGTTCGTATACCATCTCGTCGTAGATAAGTGCATCACGAATATGGTAGAAGGACCATACTAAACCCATACTAAAAACTGGAGTAGCTGTAAAATATCGACATCACACGATAGGTAAAATAATGGATTTTAGTACTGCAGAAAAATAATGTCAAAAGGTACTGGTTTAAAAAAATTAAGATTAAAGTTAATTAATCAACCTGTGAGGTATAAAATTTGGTAAGTGTTATTATTAATAAAATAGTTTGTTTTATTTATTTTGTTTTATTTATTCCTGCGGAATATTACAAATTTGTATTTGTACATAAGTTATATTGATAAATATAATCATAAATGCGGGAAGTTTCATAAAGCTTGAAAGTAAGAAATAGTTCTTTTTTATATTTTTTGGTATGTGGTGTATTGTTTTTGTTTGTTTTGTATTAACACATGCCGTTTTTTATCAAATAAAATAACTCGATTACATTTTTTCAGTTTTATACAGTTTTTTTCACAATATTTTGAAGTTGCTTGTGAGTCAAATTTTAAATACATATATTAATTTCCTGCTATGCGTTCCAGCTGTACCAACTTATTTCTTTGTAAAATAAAATAAACTACTTTGAAATTAAAAATGACAGACACATATATCACTGTCAAGGATCTTCTCGTTGGACAGACTATAAAAACCATCTAAAAACTGGAGTAGCTGTAAAATATCGACATCACACGGTAGGTAAATAATGGATTTTAGTACTGCAGAAAAATAATGTCAAAAGATACTGGTTTAAAAAAATTAAGATTAAAGTTAATTAATTAACCTATAAGGTATAAAATTTGGTATGTGTTATTATTAATAAAATAGTTTGTTTTATTTACCTATGTTGTTTTATTTATTCCTGTGGAATATTAAACATTTGTATTTGTACATTAGTTATATTGATAAATATAATCATAAATGCGTGTAGTTTCATAAAGCCTGAAAGTAAATAATAGTTCTTTTTTATATTTTTTTGGTATGTAGTATCTTGTTCTTGTTTGTTTTGTATTAACACATACTGTTTTTATTAAATAAAATAACTCGATTACATTTTTTCAGTTTTATACAGTTTTTTTCACAATATTTTGAAGTTACTTGTCAGTCAAATTTTAAATACATATATTAATTTCCTGCTATGCGTTCCAGTTGTACCAACTTATTTCTTTGTAAAATAAAAATAAACTACTTTGAAATTAAAATGACAGACATCTGTCACTGTCAAGGATCTTCTCGTTGGACAGACTTATAGTATAAATACTGCCTGCTTAAGAATTTAAAAAGTGCATTTATAAAAATATATCTCGTATTTTCGCTCTTTAGTGATATCTAATAGTTGATATTATTAATAATATTCCGTATGATTGAAAAAAAAAATAGCGCAAAGTTGGCCCGAAAATGATTCTGATTTTTATACAAAGCGTCATAATAAGTCATAGGCTACTGGTTAAAATTATAAAGAAAAATATATGCTTTTAAACTAAATCTTAAATATCTTAGAAACGATTTATTTTAGGTATAGGAACATGTATAGTTAAAAAGTAACGAATTGAAAAGCCTTTTCACTAACAAAATAAAAAAGTGGATTTTAATTTGAAAAAAAATGATTTATGATAATTTTTTAATCGCTCAATTCTATAACAGCTGCGGTCATTATTATACGACATTCGAACAATTTAATTCTTGAAATAGATAGCCACGTATTTGCCATGTTTTCTCTTTATGGCACACTGGCTGTGGTAATCACTAAATTTGACGTTTAGGCTATACACATATTTTTGACAGGCAGTTTTTTTCGTTCAAAAATTTTAAATATATTTTTTTCTCAAAAACGGTCAAGATATAGAGTGTATAATATCAAAATTCATAAAATTTTACAGAGAATTTAAGTACATAATAAAAAATGGGGGCACCCATTTAAAATAAGAAAGTTGCTGTCAACTTCCGGTATTTCTGGAAGTGCAGCCATATTGAAAATATTTTTAATCGATAGATCTCGTTGTGAAACTATGATGTGCAAAAAATATCCGAGCTAGCTGTTGTAGTTCTCTAACAACTTCTAATGCACGCTCAGCCTGGGACACCCTGTATAGTCATTAGGATGCTTAATGTGTGATTATTGTGAATCTATTAACATAAAAAAATCCATAGTAAATGAAGAGAATTTTTACGCTTTCTCAATAAAAACTCTTCAGCTTTCATCTGGGATGTTATTAAACTTATTGTTATTAATTTTAATTGTTATTATATCTGTGTTAACCACGCCCTTTTTGACATAAGACATACGTTTACTCGTTGACAAATCGAGTTGCCGCCGATTGACCTTTGGTTCGAGATGGAGCAAACTTAAATAATTGCCTTAATTTCCTTAGCAATCGACATCCGATACGGTATTGCGCTCTCGATTGTGGGCAGGGCCTTATTAATGAACTCTTTCGTAATAGACGTAGCATCGTTATGTTCTTGTATTAGATCTGGACAGTGAAGAACAATTTAATTGTATAATTATAGCTTAATATTTAGTTCCTGCAACAAGGCGTCGGTCGGTCGGCGTCGGTGCATCTGTAGTACCTATAATAAAAACTTAGGAATTTTGTTTAAATGCAAACATAAAGTCTGTACTAGGATGTATTTCAGGAAAATATTTTAATTTCTACAAGGTGGCTCAGGAAAGTGTGAGTGGATCAGGATTTGATCACCTTCTATATTATTACATTTTTGGCTTCATACATTTATATGTATTACATTTCTGACTCTTTTGCATAATCCCAAGATTTTATTAAATTTGTTTTGATAGTTTCAGAGATATTACTAAATAAAAATAATATATTTTTCAGCCTTTAAGAAACTAGGCTTTTATAGTCTGTCCAACAGTCCATAGAAGATTTCGACAAAAGTCCTCCAAAAAATGACAGAAAATACCATTGCCTATGAATTAAAATGACAGACACAACTGTCAATATCAGGGTTCCTCCCGTTGGACAGACTATACTATAATTGATATGTACCTTGCTATAATCTAAAATTATACAGAGTGTTCAAAATTCCACGTTAAACTTTCTAAAATATAAAATAATTTTTATTCGAATATTATGTATATTTTTTTGTATGGAGCAGAATTAAAAAATTGGTCAAGTGCGAGTTGGACACGTGCACGAAGGGTTCCGTACCATTCATTATCTATACAACATTAGACACTAAATTATTATAAATTTTTTTTCCGATTTAGCTGAAATTTTGCACGTTACGAACACATTACTAAAAATTGTATTAATCAATAATAAATATGTAAAAAGTAAAAATAAATATGTAAAAATATGTAAAAATTAAAAAAAGACGATTAAAAAAAAGTCGTTTTGACTAGGATTCGAACCTGCCTTAATACGGCTCCAACGTCATAGCAGCGTAAAGTCCTAACGCTTTAAACTACGCGGCCACCGAAGACTTGAAAGATTCTATGTGAAATTCTTACTTAAAAGATAATGTTTAGTGAAAGTATTTTTTTAGGGTTCCGTACCCAAAGGGTAAAAACGGGAACCCTATTACTAAGACTTCGCTGTCCGTCCGTCCGTCTGTCACAAAGGTCTATCTTATGAACCGTTATAGCTAGACAGTTGAAAATTTTTACAGATAATGTATCTATGTTGCCCAATGACTAAAGAATCCAAGGACAAATAACACCCGAGAGCAAATTGTGACGCTGTCACCAAACAGTGCCGTAGCAGATATTTTTCTTAAGCTAGCTGTTTGAAGCAAAATTTATATTTTTTGATAATTGTTTTGACTACGCCTATGGTGTATCATCCTAATTAATTACGAAAAAAACGTATTAAAATGTTAACAAAAGATACAAAACTAGTATCGACCTATAGCACATATCAAGTACATATAGATGTTAATTGAAATTGAAGAATAATTATCGAATTCAATAAGAAAACGCTAAAAAGTTGGAGTGAACTGTTTATTTACCTATGAAACGTAACTCCTGGCTCTTTTTCCAGGCTGCTGCTTTTACACTTGAAAGCTGAACAACTAATCACCATTGTAATAAAGATTATACAAAGTTTACTACACACAAACTATTAAAAATCGCTAAAATTGTCGCTGGTGACCAAATGATGACTCATTGTTTGCCACCAAAACAAAAAAAAAGGTCACAAATTCTGCTGCAGCCCGTTAGGGGCGTTACATGTCCTTATATTCTTTAGTCATTGATGTTGCCGCTATAAGAACAAATAGTAAAAACAGAATTAAATAAATGTTTATAAATAAAAAAGTACTTTCACTAAACATTATCTTTTAAGTAAGAATTTTACATAGAATCTTTCAAGTCCTCGGTGGCCCCGTGGTTAAAGCGTTAGGACTTTACGCTGCTATGACGTTGGAGCCGTAGTAAGGCAGGTTCTAATCCTAGTTAACGCGACTTTTTTTTAATCGTTTTTTTTAATTTTTACATATTTATTTTTACTTTTTACATATTTATTATTGATTAATACAATTTTTAGTAATGTGATTCTTCATTTTTTTTAAATTACTTATACGCGCATTCAAAATTTCAGCTAAATTGGAAAAAAAGTTTATAATAATATACTGTAATGTTGTATAGATGAATGGTACAGAACCCTTCGTGCGCGAGTCCGACTCGCACTTAACCAATTTTTTTTATAAATATTTATTTAATTCTGATTTTACTATTTGTTCTTATAGCGGCAACATAGATACATTATTTGTAAAAATTTCAACTGTCTAGCTATATGTTCATAAGATAAACCTTTGTGACAGACGGACGGACGGACGGACGGACGGACAGCGAAGTCTTAGTAATAGGGTTCCCGTTTTTACCCTTTGGGTACGGAACCCTAAAAAGGAACATTTGTTATATTATTTTATAGTTCATTTATTATATTATAGTATTTCACAATTTTTAACGATTAGATATTGCTTATTTATTATACGTTTTTTATTTTGTTCCAGGAATTTCAAAAGAACTGGAAGAAGTGATCAAGAAAGACAATTTTGTCGTCTCCTTAAAACACATCAAACCAAGAAGACGTTCCAGAGGCATCGATACATTATTTACAGTAGATTTTCCAGGATCCGAAAATAAGTTTTCTTTATTACTAGACAAGAAAAATAAAAAAAGTAAGTAATAATATAAGTAATATATTACCTTCATTATACACTCAGATGAAAAAACGCAACGGAGAGATATTTTGGTCAATTTTAAAGTGTTATTTTTTTGTTATTTTTAACCCTATTTTCATGAATTTTTTAGCAAGCTGTATATAATTATAACAACTTTAATTCGTAAGCTCAGTTTGTTATAAACTTTAGTATTTGACATATTATACAGGGTTAATCGAGGGGTTGTTTTTTACCCTAACTTTAAAACACCCTGTGCAATAATTTCGTGTGTAAATTTTCCTAAAATATAATTTTACGGTCAGAACATGTCTCCTGAGCATTTTGTTTTTTGAATCATGTCAATACATGCCTTCGTTAATTTTTAAGGACGAAATGAACTCGGCACAAACAATTTGCAATTTTTTCAATTATCACTTCTTTTTGAAGTTGTTTTTCAATATGACAAGGCGGCTTTGGAGATTATTGTGAACTACAAACCACTATGAACTGTACATCATGTTCTACGTTTGGGAAATGCTTGGCAGGAGGGTTAAAGGCCGCGAAGCGCTACCAGCTTCATTAAATGAACTTCGCTTTGTCCTTAAAGAAGAATGAGAAAACATGTCGCAATATGGTAGATGCAGCCTCAATGACAGTATGAACGGACGTATACAGGCAGTTATAACTGCCAAGGGAGACAATACAATGTATTAGGTTATTTTTTACAATTTTTTTTCTGTTTGTATATTTGATTATTACAATTTTTTTTCTATAATATCGTTATTTCTGTTATCGTTATAAATGTTTATTAACACCAGGACTGTATCTTTAGTATTTAACGTTTATTTTTAAAATAGAAAACAAATTTCTTGCAGTAGAGGTATATAATAAAATTATATAAGGATTCTTGCCACTTAACTGCTAATATAGAAATTTAATTCTACGCTGTGTTTGTCATAATGCGGATCAACCTGCTCTTACTACCGGTTTCGGAGCCCTACTCCATCATCAGGTGAGCTTGGGAGATCCACAAAATGACAACCACAGCGCAGAGATAGTTAATTCCGACTTGTCGGAAAGTATCGGTTAGATATTAAGTCCCGAACGGGAGATAGCGGTCTGCGTGCAATGGTAGTACTTTCGTACCACCGAGGCGCAACTATCGATAGTAAAAGGATGGTAAAAGGCTTTTTTTCAGGCAAGCCAAATTATAAAATAGAAAACAAATTTCTTGCAGTAGAGGTATATAATAAAATTATATAAGGATTCTTGCCACTTAACTGCTAATATAGAAATTTAATTCTACGCTGTGTTTGTCATAATGCGGATCAACCTGCTCTCACTACCGGTTTCGGAGCCCTACTCCATCATCAGGTGAGCTTGGGAGCCCTACTCCATCATCAGGTGCGTTCGGGACTTAATATCTAACCGATACTTTCCGACAAGTCGGAATTAACTATCTCTGCGCTGTGGTTGTCATCATTTTGTGGATCTCCCAAGCTCACCTGATGATGGAGTAGGGCTCCGAAACCGGTAGTGAGAGCAGGTTGATCCGCATTATGACAAACACAGCGTAGAATTAAATTTCTATATTAGCAGTTAAGTGGCAAGAATCCTTATATAATTTTATTGTTTATTTTTAATTTAGTATACAGTATCCAGTGCAGCGTAATATGACGTTATGACAATAGTCACCAAAACCATCTCGTCATATTAAAAAATTACATGATGATAAATAATTGAAAAAATTGCAAATTGATCGTAATCAGTTCATTTCGCTCTTAAAAATTAACCAAAGCATGTATTGACATGAATGAAAAAATAAAATGCTCAGGAGTCACGGTTCTGACCGTAAAATTATATTTTAGGAAAATTTACACACGAAATTATTGCACAGGGTGTTTTAAAATTAGGGTAAAAAAACAACCTCTCGATTAACCCTGTATAATATGCCAAATAACAAACTTTATAAAAAAACTTAGTTTACGAATTAAAGTTGACATAATTATGTACAGCTTGCTAAAAAATTCACGAATATAGGGAAACATAACAGAAATATAAGACTTTAAAATTGACGAAAAATTTCTCCGTTGCGTTTTTTTTTGCTTCTGGCACAATATTTAAAACCTTTTAGCGTTTTTATTTGTGTAAACATCTATTACAGAAAAATGTCTAAAATTGTTATGGAATTATTCTTCAATAATTACTTGTACCTAGTAGGAATAACTGTCTGCACATACTTACATTTAAATTCTTTCCATATTGCAGTTATTGTTGAAACTCTGGAAGACAGCAGAGTTAGAGAACAGCCCTTCATAGTGGACTCTCTTAAAGATGAGGATCGTATAATCAAATCTCTAATCCTCTCAGTTAACCAGTCTCAACCTGGTGCTCACGCAAACTTGTACCTCGACTGTGTGTCTTATGGCATGGTAGCGACACCTAGATCTATGAGAGAAATGTACACTAGTATGAGAACACCAGCCCTAGAAGTGGTAAGTAAAAACTTGTTCAACTACTAGCTTCCTGAACCATTATTAAACCATTGTTAATCAAAATAAATAAAGACCATGGAAATCCGGAATTCTTTTACGTTCAATACTGAATCAAAGAAATATTATACTATATCATTATATAACATTTTCTGCTTATAGTTTCACGAAAAGAAAAATTATATGGAGGTCGAAGGCCATAGGGACTTAAGAGCGATCCTAAGCAAAAACGAGTGTCCCCTTTCCATAGAAAAACACTTCGACGTTGATTTTGAAAAGGATATAGCTCAAAATCTATTGAAAGACGATCACAGTTACCAATCTCAACAACCTTACGGTCCATCAAGCGTTGATTACAGAGGAGACATACCTTTGGTTACGACCATCAACGATGGTAAGTGAATTTAGTTCATCTAGCGGGAAACTGCTAATGTAAAAATGAAATTTATTTCTGTTAGTTGGGTTAATCGACGCACTCAACCAGCTGATCAGAGTGGTTAATTTGGAAGTTCAGAAATGTCAAGGTCAAGCTGAAGCTTTCGACAAGCTGAGAAGACTGATAGAGGAGTGCGAACTGTGTAAACAGAGGCCACCAGAAATTCAGCGACCAACATGTGCCAACAATCCTCCCAGGTGCTTCCCTGGTGTGCACTGCTATGATACAAATGATGGACCCAGGTGTGGATCGTGTCCACCAGGATATCTAGGAGATGGTAAAGTTGAAACTTATTTTTGTTGAGCATAACTATTAGAGAAAAAGTCTGCCTTATATGAGATTTTTATAATTGCTTTGTTTTTGGCTGCAATGTTAGATTAGATGCTAGATTTCATGAAATTGCTATTGGCCTGTTCCATTACAACCATGTTTTCCATTGCACTGACAAACATTTTCTGCGCTTTTTTATTGCCAAAATGTGCATATGCTTTTCCTGTTAATCTCATCAGCTCTAAATATTTATTGAGCTTTCAACGTTAGTAGACTTAGTATTCGTAGTATTCACAATTTTCCTCTCTTTGTCTATCAAATCGTCTTAAATTATAGTTTATCATTCATATTTTATCATCATTATTTATCATCATATTATAGTAAATCACCTGTTATAGCTGTTTTTGTTGCCATGCATTTAGAGAAGCGCCAATTATATACTAGTTGAGATTGGCCTCAATGAAATCAACTATTTTTAGCGCTGCCTGAGTATCTGAGAAAATGGCAACTGAATCCCAGACTACAATATTAGTTTATATTTTAAATTTTACATATTTAGTTCAGTCATTGGGGATCAAAAAAGGGGTCTGCTTGGAAAAAAGTCCAGAAGTTTTGCAACTTTGCAGGTTTATAGGTTTTGGGATCCCTAACTAAAATCCATAAAATGCACATTCCTAGACTTGCCGCCGGCGCCGCCATCTTGCCAAGATGGCGCCCAAAATCGGTATTTTGTGAATATCTCGAAAACTATGCGTTTTTCGCGAAAATTTGAGGAGAGCAAAATTAAAGAGAATAAAATTGTATCCTATAAATAAGGTTTTATGAAAATTTTCGTTAAAGTCAACCGTTTAGGCACAAAATTCCTGGAAATTACTAACTAATTGCTTTGAATGAAAGAGGCATATCACACAGAGGTCATTTCAAATGCCGAAATATTTTAACTTCTACATGGTGGCTCAAAAAAGTGTGAGTGGATCTTGATGATTTTTTTTAAACGGAACACCCTGTATATTATTGAATTTTCGGCTTCCTTTCAGATCACTTTACATATTCCTGAGATATGAGTAAATGTATTTCGATAGTTTCAGAGATAATTAACAAATAAAAAAAATATATTTTGCCTTTTTGAAAAAAATTATTAAAAATACAGGAAATGTCTTGAAATCAAAACTATATTAGGTATTTACTTTAGACGGTCTATACTTACTTTGCTATAAAAATCGTAATCGTAAAGCATACAGGGTGTTAAAAATTCTACGCCAAAGTTTCTAAAAATAAAAAATTTCAAAAGTTTTAATAGTTTCGCAGATACATGTAGTAGTATTATTTCATATAGCTCTCCCAATCGTAAAATACGAGAGAAAAAAATCACTGAGTGCCTTTGATAAAAATTTACTGTTGAAAATGCCATATGAAATTAAATCGCGAATATCTGCAAAACCGTTAAATATTTTGAAATATTCTAAACACAAAAAATGTTCATTCCCTAATTCTCCATCTATTCAAAAAATAATCCTACTAATATACTGGGTGTTCTTTTAAAACAAAACGAAGAAAAATTATTTTATATTTAGAAAGTTTGGCGTATAATTTTGAACATGCGGTATGATTTACGATTACCATATTTATAGCAAAGTAAATACAGACTATCTAAAGTAAAGACATAATATAGTTTAGATTTCAAGACAGTTCTTGTATTTTTAGTAATTGTTTTAAGAAGGTCCGAAAAATATATGTATATGTATTGTGGTGATTTAGTGTTTTATTACTACTGTGTAACACCAAAGCCCCAACAGTGTATGTATGTATGTTTTGTACCTATCTTTTTTTATAAAGCGAGGGTCCTACATGCTTCTGCCGCATCCCGCATTTCGACCTCCATATTGCTCGATTTTGCCATTCTTCCTGTTTAAAAGCTCTGTCTCTCATATACTGGTCTACTCCATCTAACCACGTAGTTGTAGGTCTTCCTCTTTTCCTTCTGCTTTGGGGACGATACTCCATTGCCCTTTTTGGCCATCTTTCCCCTCTCATTCTTTTTACGTGCCCATACCATAGTAGCCGTCTCGATTCGATGTTGTCGGTGCTGGTATATAATCGCCTTGTTCTTTGCCTGATCTCCTCATTTCTAACGTGCTCCATCCTTGATATTCGACATGCTCTTCTGAGAAAGTCCATCTCCACTGACTCGACGATCCTTCTTTCTTTTGCTGTAAATTGTCAGCATTCGGCACCGTATTAATATTGGCTCTACGATTGCTTTGTAAATCCTTAGGTGTGTTTGGATGGATGTTTTATTTGACCACAGGAGAGGGTTTAAAAGACCGAGATTACTTTCTTACTTCTTTGTACCTACCTGCTTATCATTAAAATGCAGGTTTTTAATTGTGTATTTATTTAATTTGGGTTAGGTACACTCGGCTATGAGAACTATTATAATATAGATACTCGGCTATAAGGAACCATAATGAACTATAATGGCCCCGTCGCACAGTAGGCAATATGTCCAAACCAAGTTGCAAAAAATAACATCCACAGTTAGCATTTATGACAATAACATTAGATTAGAAACATATTAGTTAAGAGGAAACCACATAAAACTAACAAAAAACATATTCGAGCCCTTCGAGGGGTTGTAAAACGAACTTTTTGCGCAAAAACCCATATGGAAATTTGTGTCCAATAACTGCCTTTTTTTCACAATTTTTAAATAGTAGGCGTTGCATTCAGTGACACAGTATTATAACAATTGGATCGGACGACCTTAGCATTTGCTTTTCGTCAATAATTATTGTGTAAATTGTCATAAACGTGTTTTACGTAGATTCCCGGTTGCGATAAATTTAATGTCAAGGTAAGTAAAAAGTATCTTTTATTTTATTTTTGGATAAAAAACTAGGTGTAAGGGTCAAAGTAGAACATAATCATTTAAGGTTTTTTTGATAGCGGCATATATTCTGTCTTAGAAAAGTTAAGTCAAAAATCGCAAAAAATCCCAACATTAAATTTATTGGAAGCGTAAGCCTCCATGCGTATGTGTATAGTAAGATCCTTTATGAGATATTTCATAAATTAATTGTTATAGTAGCTAGTGAAGAACTTGAAATATAAAATTACGTATTTTTTCTCAAGATTTCCGAAGAGGTATGTCAGAAATATCAAATACTTGAATTGATATTTATATAAATAAAAAAAAAAAAAAAGCAATTAAAATTTTTTAAATTAAATGAAGTGGATTTTTCTTTCAGATTTAAAAAATGTGCACTTTGTGACCATTGCTTCCAGCTGTTATGAAACAAAATATCAGTAAATAGTAAATGGTAAAATAAAAATTTAGATATTTTTAATAGGCATAAGTTCTGTTAATCGTCATTGTTTAATTCTCAGGATATGGTTACTTATTTAAAATATAATAATAAAATATTGTTCACATATTGCCTGGTATTATTAGAGACCAAACTTATTGAAATGACAAACAATCTTGAATAGATTGATACCCAGGGTTTTCTTTTATACAATGACACCCCCTTTATCTTTTTATTTCATCGTTTCCGAAAACGAAATGAAAGTGGTTTTGAATAAATTTGTTAAATGATTTTGCATATACAAAGTGCTTCAAAAAGTCTGGGCATGGTTCAACTTTCTTATTTCTAATTAGGTATAGAAGAATATATAAACAATGGTAGGCTATGCTACATAAAAGTAGTTAGATTTTTAGGAGAAAATAAAAAATTTCTAAAACAAAAAAAAAAAAATTGGGTACTAATTTGAAATAAGAAAGTTGGGTCACGCACATGATTTCTAAGGCACCCTGTATATGCAAAGTTAGACTGTTTTGAAAAAATGTATTCGAGTCCATTAAACTTTTATTCAAGACACATTTTTCGAAAAACGTTGAATAAAAAAGACACAGAGGATGTAAACATATAAAAACAAACTCTGCATATGCCGGAGGAGTAATAATTGCTCAATATTGGTCTGTTTCATCTTGGCTCTGCTAAAAATCGTAAAATTTAGTGAAAATATAAAATATTCTACTGCCTTTTGGTAGCTGTATTAGTCAATAGATGATTTTTCCTATTTTAAGAATCCCCCCACCACCCTCAACCACTCTCAAGTCAGCTAAAACTAACTGGGTTCACGGGCTACTAGCATAGAATGTTTTTACCAAATTTGAATGAAATCGTACAAAAAAAGAATTTTTGCAACATACTTTTGGATTTTTGCCCACTGTGCGTCGGCGTCGAGTCCATTATATGAGGATTACGCTATTTTAAGAAACGCATTGTGTAAGAAATTTATATAGCCTAAAGAACAGATTATTTGTTGAGTACTTATCTCATGACACCAGCTTTATTTGCTGGAGTATATTGATGATGATCATGAAAATAATTATTTTACTACTATCCTCGATTGAAGATTGGTATAATACCAAAAAAAGAAATAATATAATACCAAACCAATTTCTATATACATTTTTGTTTAGGATACGAGTGTAGACCAGGCAGGAGATGCTCAGACCACCCATGTTTCGACGGCGTAGAATGTAGAGACACTGCTGATGGCTATCGATGTGGTCCATGTCCCGCAGGATACGAAGGAAACGGTGAAGACTGCCGCAGAAGAAACCCTTGCGAGTACAACCCTTGCGCACCAGGTACTAGCGATAGTTATGATAGATACCGTTACTAAAATGAAAAATATACCAAATACAAAGTATCAGTAGATGAAGTATAGATAGACCAGGTATAATTTAGAAAAAAAAAATTCTGACATTTTTGTTTGGCTAAGAGATATTTCCCGTTATCAATCTTCAAATTATTACAGGGTATACTCCATAGACTAACTAGTATACTCATAGAAATTGCTGAATTTCTGTGAAAATATAATTTAACTTTATTAAATCGTATGAATAATTTTATAATTATTTTCTTATTGTATTTGGTCTAATCGTATATTACATTTAAACATTATTACTGCTTTCTAGTCACCAGTATTCTTTTATTTTCAGTTGATTTTTGTTACGATTGATATTTTATTATACCTATTTACAGGGTCTTCTTATAAAAAATGGTAGCCAATATTTACACATTTTCAAATTTTTCTTGTTTCAAAATTATTTTTTTTATATAATTTCGTAACTCTATACTGAACGTACTCTTGATATTTTTAAACGGAAATACAAATAAAGTTCGCTCTGAGAATTTAGTAACAAATAAATAATTGTGTTTGTTTAAAACTTACTAATACATATTTTTTTATAATATTAACTAATTTGAGGGGGCGGATCATATTTTTTATTTTCTCTTGTTTAATTAAGAAATAAAAGAAAATAATAAAATAGTACCTTTATAAAATAATTATTAAAATATAAACCAGAAAATAAATATAAGTAGCTATAAATCTCCCCCATATTTGCATGTTTATATTACACGCCTTTGCTTCTATTTAATGACAATATGACACATTAATAGTTTTTTCCCTGTATTCTAGGGTATTTTCATTTGTTAGGATATATTTCCATTGTACACTATTTTTTCTTTTTGCTGTTTGTTTTACATTTAAAGACTTAGATAGTTGGATGTTCTTCCTGTTTTGTAACACTTATCAGGTAATATAGTAACTTAAAACTAAATAATTTTGTTTTATTTTTAAAACAGGTTGTGTACCTGTGTGGAGAACACGTAATACCAGACAATGACGACGCCTCGGTATTATCCAGCAAATGGGTACCTTAGGATGCAGATCGTTGTTAATTTATTTTAGTTGCACCAACATTTTAATACGCCAACCAAAAAAAAATAATTCTACTGAATATCAATTTATAATAAAAAATATATTTTTCTACAAATGAAGTCAAAGTATAATTTTTGTACATACGAATTAATGAAACGAATAATTCTTATATAGTCTGTGAAACGAATAACTTTGAATTTGACAGTTCCCGCGGGCTTTTCTAGTGATAATTTTATTAGGTTAGCAACTTGCGGCCATGCTGACGCAATGCCGTCTCTAATAGAACAGCCTCGGAGCGAGATTTATGACGTCACGCTAGTTAGATACTACGGATTAGTAAATATGTTAAGTAGAACAAAACATAATTATTTTTCGTAATATAGTTTGTATTTTAAAATGATATAGCTTACAGTTAATGAATACAATATATATACCTATTTATAGTAATAATTGGCAACAAACTATGAACCACAGGCAAATGCCGCAAATGTTTTACAGTATGGCTGAAATCATATTCCATAGTCAAAGTGTAGATAGTTTTGTTAAGAATACTAATTTTAAAAAATATGTGGTCATTTTTTAATAAGTTTATATTAGTTTATTAATTGCAGTAAACATTATGTTGTGTGTGGGGTGAATATTTTATATGTAATTTTTTTTTAAATTTTAACTTTTTGTATACACAATTTTTTTCATATGACACAACACTGATGAAGGCTATAATGTTAGCGGAAACGTTTTTTTAACCAAATAAAAATAATGAAAAACCAAATGTAAACTTGATCAGCGTTTCTCCCGAACCTAAATCCCAAGAAAAGCAAAAACTTTGTAAACAATTTTATAAATGACAGCGATCTTTATTTCATAGCCATCGCCGGACGCCCCCTTTTTTTCTATGGATATTGTATTATTTGCAACATAATTTTTCAGAACATTAATAACAAATACATCATTAAGTTAGTGAATATTGAATATTTTTTGTAAAAATAAGATCGATTTTCAAACCCCTAAATTTAAAATATATTTTACATCTTATCACTATCTTAATATTAAATCTATTCATTATTTGTATATTGTAAAAACATTTGCTGCATTTGTATGGTTCATAGTTTATTTTGCCAAAGTATTTATCTTTATAAATAGGTATATATTGTATTTATTAACTGTATATTATGTATATTCATGTAAACTATATCATTTTTAAAAATACAAACAAAAAATACGAGGAATAAATGTTTTCCATGTATTCTGTACAACATATTTATCAAGCCATAATATCTGAACTAGCGTGCCGTCATAAATCTCGCTCCTAGGCTGTTCTACTAGAGACGGTATTGGTCTGATATTTAGAAATATCAAAAGCTTTGATGATATTTTACTTTGAATTATGGAATCTTTCAAAGGATTTTCGCAAGAAGAGGAAGAACTACTTGTTTTATTATTTTCCTTTTTCTATTTCCCACGAAAGTAAAAAAGAGTTACCTATCTGATTCGTTCAGGCAATCAATTTAAAGAATATCAGTAACTTTTTTAACAGAGGGATTTTATATTTGCCATGTTGGTAAAAAATAACGGTCCAAATTCAAAGTTATTCATTTTATAGACTATATCTGTTTCATCAAAGGTGCCCGGTGAAGTAGAGAAGTCTTAGAATAGAATTATTTATAACTTCATCCCCAATAAAATGTAATTACATTTTTTTTATTTATGTTTCTAAAGGTTGTGTAGACACAGAAACCACAATATTCTCTACAGATAGTATATTTTTTTTTTTAAATTTTATATTTATTTCTATTTTTTTAATAATTTTGTTTAAATTTTGCTTTGTATGAATTTTAAATTCAAAAGAAATTTGGTTGGACGTTCATTACATGCACCTTTAATATAAAGTATGCAAATATTTGATTTATTTTTGCTCAGGGCGCACCCCAAAAAGTGGCTCACCCCTATAACTTTTTATTTTTCAGATAAAAAACAGGTTTGGTATGTTAGTATATGACATAAATTAGAGAGCAATGATGCAACTGAACGAAGTACAATTGAG